TGGCAAAGCACTTCCAATCAGTGCTCATCCTAGAGCTTCGCAGCCCTGCTCTGCCCAGCTCAGAGGTTCCACTCTCAAAAAAAGTTGTGGATATTCAGAAATGTTAGTTTACTTCTGGAAGTTTTGATCTATTATGCAAGACATCGCGCTACAGCGTACAGTGCAACGGAACAAAGCGCACTCCGGCACAAACTTGAACGCGCGCGAACATTCGAATTGGTTCATACAGAGCAATATAATCTGACATTTTTTTCTTCAAGGGCTCCTACGCTTGGGAGGGGCCATAATTTAGAGTGATATTTATAGAGCCCGATGTCGTGCATTAACCGAGTCAGGTCAAGCAAGGTTGTGTTATGAATATGTATAGACAAGAAAATCCAAATCTGGAAATTGGCACTCCCAGAGAAACTTTCTGAAAGCAACCAAACCAACCTTCGGCAGCCAATCAGTTGCTGACAATAAAGACAGCCCACGGGATCATATGGAACCTCCTCAAAACAGATGGTACATCGCCCAAAAGCGTCGCTCCTGGAATATAGATGTGACAGGGAGAACGAAGCTGCAGAGCAGCCCTAAACAATGTTGGCGCACACGCAAAAAAAGACGAGTATGCTTTGATATCGGATGAGACAGAACATTCGAGTAAAGCGACGTGCACAAACTAGTTCAGATAGCGCAGCTCTTCTTAACTAGTTAATTTGGCTTCCATGGAAACAGGTTGTAGTCCGATACCTCCGTTTTTTCAACAAGTGCGAGTAAATTGCTGTTGATGCCAATTTCGGCGAATGACAAAACATTGTAGCGTTTGCCGTCGGAGAGTACTCTCGACTGACGAGAACAATTGGAATCGCTCGGCTTTATGTCGGGCGAATGGGGCGATTGAACCCAGGTCTCAGTATTGTTTGTGTCCCAGCACTGCCCTACAATACAGTTACTCGGGGTCTGGCACTATGACGAGCAACGGTGGCCTTCTTGTAGTTGTGTGGTACCATCCATTTGTCGGTCTGATTGCCAATGAACAGGGAATATACCAGCGACATTCTGTGTATAGAACCGCTTAAAGCCACAGTGTAGGAATCCTCCGCTGTGATGATCATCCACTTGCGCCCACGTAACCCCTCATAGTAGAGCTCGGCGGCTTCTCATCTGCATTAGCGGCTTCGCATCTGCATTCATACTAAATGTATAGAAGCTCTTAAACGCCACAGTGTATGTGGATGATTGTAAGTTTTGGCCCGAGGTCCAAGATCACTCATATTTCCCTAGGGGGGGGTGCGTTTTCACAGTCGTGAATGACATCTCATGCTGAGAACATTACTGCTAGAGGCATAGAATCGGTACTGCGTTCGTGCTTCTATAAGAAAATTAGGTACCCATGCGCACACCCTCTTGACCATCCTCAGTTTATCGGACATAACTCGGGCAGCAGTTGCAGCTGGGATGTCAGTCTCGCGGGGAAGCTCGACAAAGGTCTCTGTGATCAGACATTCAGTGCTTGACTTCATCCACCCTTTTTTCTTGTGCAGGATGAACATTATGGGAGCATAGGACGAACATTATGGGACCATCCACGACAACAATTTTTTCCTTTCTTCCTTCTTCGGGCTCCTGAACCAAACCTTCCACCTTGTATTTCGAGAACACCATTACACACAACTACTGGTCCGGCGCAGGTCAAATTTGAGCAGCGCACTTCCCTCTTATGACGCCTGATTTGAAAATCCGGCGCTGATTTTCACCACTCAGGCTTCTTTTCAATTTCTCGAGAACTTCTTCTGTGGGTAGGTTCGCCAAATTTCACAGATACATAGCTAAAGGTACTAGCCTCCAAATGGTATAGTAGCCCGCTGCTCTATCCCCTTTGCTTTTCTGCCATTCTTCTACATGTCTCGGCACTTTTGAATGGCATACCTAATAGCAAGTAATTGGGCACGTGGATGACTAAATAATTCATCTTAAACACGTTCGTGCGTATCGATCTTTCCCAACCTCGAACAAACATCTGATTGCATGGACAGAATCGCTTTCCATTGGAGGATACATCTTTCCACATCTGTTGGAAGCGTAATCACGGCACACAGTCGGACGAACCCAGTCTATGATAACCAAGCCATGCTTCCACACAGTTCAACGAGGATATGTGTATTGTAGGCATATTAACACATCGAACGCCGCGGCGTTTTTGCGGCGACTCCCGTTTTCACTTCCTGCGTCTCCGTGCGCGTGAATTGCGTGCAATACACAAACGCGCGAAACGGGAGTATTTGTGCCGCATGGATATGTAATACGGATCGAATGTGCCAAAATGCGCACTAAGCAGGTCAGAGAACTCAATGTGGTCGATGTGAGAAGCCGTGGTGCTGGAAATGTTCCCAAACTCATCAAAAGTGTTGCGAATCAAGAACATAAGTATCCTACTATATATAATCCGCTAAGTTTGTCTGTTGGTGTGTGTGTGAATGTATGTTTGTGTGTCTGTATGTGTGTTTGACCGGAAATTCATAACTTCCTTCAAAAGAGCGATAGAGCGCTCAAACTGATAAGTGATGTAGGGGGTCGTGCACGAACATTATTGGTCGGTGGCAGGGAGTGATAACAGTTGATAAGATACCATAAGGAGCCTTAGAAGGTAAGGGTCACCAAATTCACAACGCGCGTCACAGCAGCGGTAGAGCGTTGGTTCCAAGAAGTAAGATAGAGGGCAGGATGGGGACATTTTCGGTGGGTGGCAGGAAGTGATAACAGCTGATAAGATACCATAAGGAGCCTTAGAAAGGAATGGTCACTAACACCATAGTGCGCGTCACAGCGACGGTAGAACGTTGTTTTCAAGAAGTAATATATGGGGCAGGATAGGAACATTATTGGTGGGTAGCAGGACCTGATAACAGCCGATAAAGTACCATAGGGGGCCCGCTTCAGGAAGGCCTCAAAATTCAATGCAAGAGTCGGAGCAACAACGGGGAGCTGCATCTTTGCTATGCCTGCGACTGAACTTGACCACCGTGGTCCAAGAATTAATGGGCTAAACCTTAGTGAGCAGAGATGTTCCTATCCCTTAGGATGTAGTCGGAGTTGATCCGACCGCTAAACTCTCGAGTACCACCCAGAAGTAAAAGCCTAAAATTGTTTGCCAGTGAGGAATGATAAGAGTCGCCAATAGACCGATATGTGAAAGCTGCTCACGGAAGAATTAGGATGTTAGAACACTTCACTATGATTTCGATATTGTTACCATTGAAACTCTTTCAACCGCTAAGTTGCCTCATTTCCAACGAATGGTGAGTGTTGTGATAAGCACCATACGTTGGCAAATGTTCATTAAAGAGGAGAATTATGATGAAATGGGCCGTGTTTTGAAGCATGGGAAAAAGGCGAAGTTTTAGGGGCCACCACAAAAATTCTGCCATTGTTAAGTACCAGTTTGGCTGTCGCGCATTACTGCGCGACAGCCAAACTGGTTGTTATTTGAATTAAACACTATCAAATGTATTGTGAATTAAAACTGATTATCACTAGAAGTCTTACTGAATCGATGCGGAGCTATCATAAGAAGTGCAGTTATCGTGCCACTGACTTTAGTTTGTAATGTTAATAAATGACTCCAGTGAGCAGCTTATTTCACGCCATTAAGAACTAAGCATAGGCAAAGCTCACTGATACTCGGTGAAAATGGTTCAAGTCGCACTCTTATTCACGAAAAAACCGACACCCAAAACTTGAGAAACGGGAGTATGCGCGTGTATTGCCGACAGTTCACGTCGGCGTTCAATGTGTCAAGGCTCCCAAGTGAGTATTCTTACAAGTGCACTGAAAAAGACGAACTTCTAAGTGGATCAGAGCTTGGTCCATCAGCTGCCCATCTAAAATTTCTTCTGAACTGTCGAGTCTCTAGAAGACTGTGGTAGCTTTCGGAAAAAGGGGATTTTTGGCTCCGTAAAGAAATTTTGGACTTGCCACTAAACCACCACCGCCCCATCAGCCTTATGGTTAGAAAAAAAATGAACAAAGGACCACATGATCAAAAAGTTCAAGATAAATAGCTTCCCATTACCTGATAACTGTATCGTCTGGTTCCTCATTAGTGAATACTTCCGCAGACTCTTAAATTGAACCTCATCACAAAAAAAAATCAAGGCAAACTGTTGTGTTCTCCTAGCGAAAAAGAGTAGGAAGGAGTATTGGCCGAAGCGAAATTACAGTGCAGCTCACCGCTACTTCGCTCATCTTCCTCAGCATCGAAACCAGTCAATGAAGCCAGGGTAGCGAGTGGTCGCAACACTGAAGGGAACACATCACATTACTCGGAATATAGAATACACAACTATTCAGCAAAGCTTTGGGTGACTGATCAGCTCAGTTATAATTCCCAGCGAAACAGTCTTTTTCTCGGTAACAGTCACTCAATGCTAAATACCCTTTTTTGCAGCATGGAGGTCTGCCTTATTTCTCCGTATACACACCACCTCATTATCTTCTCCCTCCACTTTGTCTCGAAAACTGAAGCTGCTGATGCCCAAAGCCAAAGGATGAATAAATCTGCAAAGCCTCAAATCGCTCCAACCGTCCGACAGCTGCCCTTTTAGACCAACGCTTCATTGTTGGAAACTACCGTTTTGAACAGGAGCCAACCCACTGCTGAAAATGCACTGCACAGAAGATTCGAACGGTAAAGAGGCTGCCTTAACAGGCTCTACATAATTTCGAGGTGCACATTGTGGATTGGACAGAATGAAATGCGAAATCTCTGCAACGTTCTTGATTTTGCACATGCAACAGCAGTGTTGTTCCTCAGCGAGAAAGTATATGTGTTTGGTGGTTAAAACCTTCGAATCAGTCGAAACTCATGGAAGCCAGTATTATTTAAACCGTTCCGAACTCTGATAAGCACCGAACAAAACAAAATTAAGACATGACCGTGTTGGAACGAGTTCATCCACCAACGAGTCACCAGGACTAACTCTCTCCATTTTAACGAAGATAGTAGGAAATATGAAAGCTCAACCTTGTCTTGAAAGATTTTCGAGAATATCGATGGTATCAAAAAGGGTTTGAGTGTCATCACTCTCAATGGAATATCTGGTTCGTTCTGAAGGTGTCGCGTTATCTTCGTTCTCCTGTAAAACAGATTACTTCAAGCAAAAGAGGAGATAGCGAAAAGGTCAACCCGTACATGGAGCAATCTCTTTTTTTGGCAGAAAATCGGCTCTATAATTTTCATCATGACTTCAACTGACATGTGCCTTACGAGGTTGATGAGTGGAACCTTCATTAAAATTGTCCTGAAATTTTGACTTAATCGTCCTCTTTAGAGGCTAATGGTTCCACCGTTTGAGAGGGAAGGTCCGCTGCATTCCGCTGGTTTTCCGCTTAGTTTTCTTTAGTTTCTTCTAGTTAAAAAAAAAATAGCGCTGAAATTTTTCTACTCGAGCGCTGTAGTGTGCAGCGGACTTTTTGTTTGAACGGTGAAATCCTCCTCAGAAGAAGACGATTAATTCGAAACTTCAGACCAATTTAAGAGAAAGTTCCACATAAAAACCCCGTAAGGCACAAGACAACTGAACCTTTCATTGAGACTCTACAAGATGCGGAGGGAACTAATTTAACAAACCTCTGAATCATTGTCAACATCGTCGTCAGTCTCCTCTTCACGATTGCTGGACTGTATTTCTTCGTCCGCACTTCTAGTTCCATCAGAATGATCGCTATCAACACTATCATCGCCCTCATAGTCCTCGTCGTCATCAACTTCACCTTCTTCTTCTTCACCATGCGAGGTATCTATGTCAACACTGTCGTCGTCATCATCATCATCACCGTCGTCATTGAGGTCACTATCCTCGACATCTTCATCGCCACTCGGCTCCTTCGGAAAGGATAGTGAGTTCATCCGCATACATCTCCTTAATACAAATAGAACTTGCAGATGTTTCATATAGAGCACTCATCGCTCTCCGAGAAACACTGATAGTGTCAGTAAGGCCGCGTTCATAGCTTGCGACCATGAAGAAAGTGAAGAAGTGCCGAAAGTGCGGAAAGTGCGGAATCTGCAGAAATGCCGAATGTGAAGAAAAGCAATAGATATGTATCGATTTGACTTTCCGCACTTTCCGCACTTTCCGCACTTTCCGTACTTTCTTCAAATCGATACGTATCTAATGCTTTTCTTCACTTTCTGCAGATTCCGCACTTTCCGCACTTTCTGCAGATTCCGCACTTTCCGCACCTTCCGCACTTTCCGCATCTGAAATAACT